CAAGCTCCATACTGGCCTCAATTCCTTTTTATCTCTTTCTTCTTGTAGCTAGATACCAGTGACCTAGGTATCTGTAGCCCTTAAGCTCTTTATCTATATCCCAATATCTAGAAAGGAATTGCATAAAAAAAATGTCAGCTAAAATCCTACCCATTTCCAGAGTAACTCAACTGCCCCTCTCCTCCATGAAGAAATGCTCTCTCAAACACCTGTATTTCAATGATAACTATATCCTTTGTGCTTTCTGTACCAGTTACTATAGTCTATCTTTTGGGTTTAGTTTTATTTGGGTCTACTTCTTTTCTGTATAAACTAAACCTGAAAGAAAGATTATCCATCAACTCTTAAGCATACTATATATTCAAACTGCTGAGTTAATGTCTCATGTTCCACTTCCTCTAACCCAGGCTCATGTCACCATCAAATTTCCCCAGGATTTTTTTTATTTAAAAAAAAAAAAAAGTTAAACAAAAGGAAACAAAAAAAGAAAGTTGCAACATACATAACGGACTTTACAAGAATGTTCAGGAATTATGCAAAAGAAATCTCCCCACTCAAGCACCTTTAGAAAAAAAGGGTTTTAAAAAAAATCAGATGGATTTGCTTTTCACAGATATTTTTGGAGACTTCAACATGTATATCTCTTGGTGGAAAAGCAGGAGGCAGAGTTTCCTGAACACATTCAACCACGCATTCATTTTCTTACAGCAACTCACAGAATTACTTGTCTGTGTTATATATTTGGGAACTTGCTGAAGGAAGTTGTATCCGGTCTGTTACATTTTCATCTACACAGATGTGCAGAAAATCTTGAGCTTATTAGCTCCAGCTGGGAAAAATTGAGAAGTATAGGCTTTATCATCCAAAACATTATAAATTTAAAAAAAAAAAAACAACCCCACACAAAACCCAACAACCAAGCACCATTCTTTTTTTCCCCCTGCTGCTTTGACATGCCTGAAACACTGCTAATGGGTTCATGTACAGCATTTTATGAAATTTCTTTCAATTCTCTTTAACTGGTAGTCTCGAAGTGTATTATAATTATACCATTTAAATACATTTTGCATACTTTCAGCTCAACTGGAAATGTTTTAGTATTTCTTTAATGACATGATGTTTTCAATTCTTTTCTTGATAAATATGAGGCTACTTTCACAGACTCTGCACTGAGTCAAAATTAGTATTTCATTTCAAAAACAAACACTGTATACAAACTCTGAATTTGTTTTTTGATGTTACTCAAGACAGAACTTAGTTTCAAGTACTACTCAAAAAATGGTTGAGTGTAGCTTTATATTTTAATACATTATGTTTTACTATAAGAAAATTTTTAAAATTCTTTTTCATAATTATAAAAGCCAAAGTTTCACTGCTCTGTTATGCACACCGGCAGTACCAATGACACCAGGGGCTTTTCCATCACTAAAAAAGGGTTCGAGTTTGGCAATTTTTCTTACAAAATCCTTATGATTAAAAATGGCAGCTCTTTGAGGAAAATTAATAAGAAAAAATACTGTCTGGTGCTGAGTTTCTTACTAACATTCTCAACCACATATATTGAGAAGAATAGCCACCAGGTGCTGGGTGGTATTTTAACCACTGAAACTTTCACAGTAAACAAAAGTAATGGAGCACATAAGAAATAAATAAATCATCTCTTAATAACATAGAGGATTTATTAGTAGTAGCAGAGAGAGCTCTGGAGGTCTCTGGAGTTGTGGCTGGCATATTACAACATTACTCACAGGAGCAAAGAGATGGAAGCAGCCCAAGTGCATGTCAACAAATGAATAGATAGAAAAACTGGTACATTCACACGATGGAATATTACACAGCACTGAAAAAGAATGAACTTGTAAAACACTATACAACACAGATCAGTCTGAAAGATATTATCCTGAGTAAAATATCTCAGTCACAAATAGACAAATACTGCATAACACAGCTATTTTAAGATAGGATTCACATGGAGGGGGGAAGTGGGGAGAACAGGAAGAGAGTAGACAGATAATGAACTTTGCACTGGCAGAGACGAAGGAAAGGACCATCTGAGAGAAACATGATGAGGCTTTCTATGTATGATAATAACCTAGATACAATCTGCATTACAAAGTGGACTGGGGAAAGAGGAGTAGGGGAGGAGGGGGGAAATGTGTTATCAATGAATGAACAAAAACCCAATCTTTCTATAAAATGTCATTAAAATCACAATTTAAAAAATTCAAGTTATCTGTTGTCTCTGAAAAACAGCAAAAGAGCCAAGTGGTTCAAATCTACAAACTGCTCTGCAGAAGAAAGACGGGCAATCTCCTCCTGTGATTTGCAGTCTCTGAAAATCCACTGGAGGATCAGCTACGAATTGGTTCTATCTTAATGATACAGGACGACGACAACAGTAATAGAATATGAAATATGCCAACTCATAGTGACCCTCCATCAGAATTGCAACTAGAGGAAACTGTTCATATTCCCCCCTCAGAGCGACTAGGAGATTTGAAGTGCTGGAGAAAGGCAGGCTTTGGCTTAGAAGTGCCAATTCACTACAGACTATGCCCCCTATGTGAGAGCTATAAAGAAAATTAAAGGAATTACAAGAGCAATAGCAGGTAAAATATGTTCTAGTTTCAAATTTGGTGGTTAATGCCTCAAAGCAAAACAAACATTACACCAAAACTTGAGACAGGAACAGTCCTAATTATTAGGTGATTCTCCAAGAAAGAACATTACAGGCAGAAAAAAAGAAAAAAAAAAAACAAGAACAATTGCCCTAAGAAGGACACCTGCTTTTTTAATAATTGTCTAATTAATACCGTGATTTCCCTAATTTGTAATATAATATTTATTTGAAGCCCAAGGGAGATGGAGTAGTTTAATTGAGGTGAGATTTCAATGAACTACCTAATACAGTTTATCCTTACATACCCCTAGGAAAAAATCTGGTCCACTGCCCACATTTGTAAATAAAGTTTTATTAGAGTACATCCTCACTCATTAGAATACATATTGTCTATAGTTGCTCTCAGGATACAATTACTGAGTTGACACTTGAAACAAAAATCATACGGCCTATAAAGCCTAAAATATAATCTGAGCCTTCTAAATTAAAGTTTGCTGACTCCTGCTTGTATGGCCTTCAGAATGTCTTATGAATCCATTATATTTAAACCAAAGAGGCATGTGACCAAGTTAATTTCACAAAGCCTAACAGTGTCGGGGGGGGGGGAGGGAATTGTGTAGGCATCATCCTAATTAACAATCATCTTAAACAATCTCAGAATAGTTAACCAAATCTAATTAGTGAAAAGAAAAATGCAGATTCTCCTTCTGAGCAAATAAAAACATGCTTCTTAGCATTTAAAATCTTAGCCAGTTAAACATGCTTCTTAGCATTTAAAATCTTAGCCAGTTAAAATTCTTCTTTCATTGCACAGGGAGGAAAAAAGTAACATAGAACCATTTCTGTTTCTTTGCAATTTCTTGGAAATATAACAAAGATGCTTTGTTTACTTTTCCATCTCCATGTTTCCTGATGTCCAAGAGAAAAATCTTATAAACCAGAACATTCAAGTATTTGCCCTGGAGTGAGAAAACATGAATCTAAAAAAAGACACAAGATGTAGACAGGTTCAGCAGAGAGAGGATGCAAAGTCAGTGTTCTGATAAAGACTGAGTAGAATGTTCTGTGGCCCAAGGAAGCCAGCAGTGCGGAAGCCTGCTTTGTGAGCCTGACACAAAAACAAGCCCACCTTGTGAACAGCAGACCACAAAAGGAAACCACGGCTCCTGGGGCTCTGTACCGAGAACAGGGGAAAACACCCTATGACACTCTAAGAGAGTACTTGGATCTCCCTAAACCCTTGACTTTTACAGAAATGACAGTTTTGGGAATATTCAAGCTCAATGTAATTCAATTAGTGTGTGTACTCAACCACAAACTCATACCTTTGATCCCTGAATATGCATTTTTTTGATAATACCAAGAGTATACCCAGAAGTCTAAGAAATAGTCTGTTATAGTTTAGTCAAAATCTAGTCTTCAAGATGGATGTAAGCATATAAATTATTAACCACATAATGAGTAACCAAAAATATTTCTGGATTTTCTTTCGCTTTCTTAAGAATTTTAATTCCCACTCTTATTAGTCATTTAAGGCTGCTTCTGGTAATTTTATTTCTAATGAAATTAACTTTAGAACTAAGGCATTCTAGAAATGATTGGTAGGTTTAGGGGCCTAGCTATCATGCTGCAGGGACTCACCAAGTTAAATATGTAAATGTGAGACATTTAATCACAAAGTAAATAATTCATGAGGAACACTGCAAGTAGATAACTCAAAAAAGACATCTAAAAACCAAGATGCCAGAAAGAAATTCTAATTAAATATTATCCTTCCTCCAAAGATTTCTCAATACTTTAAGACAGATAAAGGATAGAATTGTACTATTAAGATCAGAAATTATCAAATGCTTTAAAAGTGTAATGTCCAATGTCCAAGAGACCCAGACCATCTATGCAATACACTAAAGTAAAAACAAAATATCAATACTGAAGATGAAAAATTTAACAATGAAACGTTTTCCCCTAAATACAATAAGCATTGTATTCCTGAACAGAGCACTGCTATGATATAAGCAAAAACTAAACAATGTGGGCCAAGTACATTAATGAAGCCTGTGTTGTTGTGGGTTTTTTCCTTGTTACAAATTGAGACACAGTATAATGTAAAGTTAAAAATAAACAATGAAGATATAGATGTAATTCACAATTTTCAGCTATAGTTTGCTACCTAGAATCTTAACTCAAGATTCCACACATCATATCTTAATCCTTCATGTCTAAACACTGACACTGCAAGAGTATACTGGAGGTTGCTAATTATATCTTCATGTAGGGGGAGTGAGTTAGAGGAGACACTTTCTAGCAGGTCTGGTAATGGAAAATTTGAATTTTTAAAACTACAAACCAATGATATCTCACAAAAGGAAAAACTACATACCCTTGAGGAGAGAGTTTGTCCAGCCACCCAGATTTCACTTTTTTGGCAGATGATCCATAATAACAGGCATAAGGAGATATCGCATTTGAGGCAAAGGTTGACGAATCAGTATTTCTACACGTGGAGCTACTTGGATAACTGTGCCTGGTAAGAGGGTCCAAGTTCAAGACTTTTTGGATCCTAGATTTAGGAGCCTTTGAATTTTTCCGTTTTAAACTATGAAAGCATTCTTCTACTGTTGAGTATTCGGATTCAGAAGCAGAGTCTATCGGGACAGTATTTTTGTCCTCTCGAGGTATCCAAATATCCTCCACTTTGTCTTGCCTTGTTCTCTCTAGGCTGTTATCATATATGCTAAATGGAAAAGAGAAGTGTTAGTGTGTCAAAGTTCTCCATGTCATTTAAGCAATCTTTTTATTTATAAACAACAAATTACGAAAACTAAATATCAAGAAAAGTTTAGAGTTCACTGAGCCCAAACTACAAATGTTAAATCTCATCTATGAAATATAATGGGAATCCTCATTAATCTAAGACATAATTGGATACTTTTAGCTAGAGTTTTTTCCCTGTGTATAAATGAAATGTGATCACTTTTATCACAGGGGACTATGTGTTGATGGTTAGGACAAGGACTGACCAAATGTTCGGCATTATAATTTAAGCATCTTCAACAGCACTATTAAGCAGTTGGTCCAATTCACTTTTCTGGACCACATTATGAACCACTGGGGTAAAGAGTTGTGCTGCCAACCCAAAAGCATGTGGCTTGGATCTTCCACCTACTTCACGGGAGAAAAATGGGCAACATCTTCCTTTGTGGCTTCAGCCTCCGAAAATCTGCTCAGTACTGGTTCCAACTCAGTAGCAATGAACTGAGCCAGGATGTCAAACTAATCTATCTGAAGACCTTATTTGCCAACAAGGAATCTCTGGATAGTGGAAACAGTTAACATGCTTGACTTCCAACTAAAAGTCTGGAAGTTCAAGTCCGTTCATAGATCCCTTAGAAGATAAGCTGAGCCTTTTTCTGAAAAATCAGCAACCCAAATTCCTACATGGGATAGTTCTACCCTCATATAAAAGGGGTCACCATCAATATGAACTAACTTGATGGCAACTTAGGTTTGTTTTTTTTTTACTTATATCTAACTTGTCACCTCTCAAACTTTTCTAATCAGCCCAAAGAAACCTATGTTCCACATAAAATAAGAAAATAGAAACTACGTCTTCCTGCTAAGACCTGCATCACTATTTTCTGTCATTATAGAAAAACTGCACCACACTGCTAGAAGAAAACAAGAAAAGCTCAGTGCACAGTACACAATAATATAAAATATTTACTGGAACACACTGTTATCACTAAGCATATTCTAATAGATTGAAGGAATGGCACAGATTGACACAGTCCTTTATGTTCAATAAAACCCATTACAATAAAGTTTTTGCCAATCAATGTAATAAACATATCTAGAAATCAAAAAATGTCCTTCCTGGAAACAGTGTTCTAAAAAGATTTCCTCCTCTAAAGATAGATTTAGCCTTCTACATTTTTTATTTGAATACATTCTTATCTTTTGTTTATCAGAGATTACTTAGTTTCAACTTAAGGAAACCAATCAATAAGGCTAAAATGTTAATCTAGGAAAATTAAGTACTGGAATTAATGTGTTAAAAAGTCAATTAATACCACATAATGAATTCAGTATACTAAGCCCCAACAAAGCTAAGGGAGAGAAATATCACAACAAAAGTAAAATTTAAACTAATATCTTTTCATTTCATGTGTGATCCACAGAGCTAAATAAACTCTTATCCAATCTTTACCTCTAATAAAAAATGACTAACATAACATTGGAAAAATTTGTACCTCACCAAGTAATACAGTAAACTGTTCCTTTGTTCTATATATACACACACTTAAGTTCTTATCTTCAAGGCTCAGTTATGATCACCACATATTGGCCTCGTATTTTTGAGAGGTAAAAGGGTGTTTCCATCAGAAAAAGAAGGGGGAAAAAATCTGTCACAGACCATCACTCTATGCTCATTTAATGACTCCCTTATATTCAACTATAACAATATAAAAAATATTACAGGTACTCTATCTTAGTAATATAAAGATTATTTCTTAGCATGAAGCTAACATTTGCAGTATGTTATGTGAAAAAATTAGCCATGATAAATCAAAGACTACAAACCTTGATTTGACCAAAAGAGAGTTCCTTTCAGTAGTTGCTTCCCCTTTAAGTGTTTCTTCATGGGTCCAAAATTCATTCTTTATAGATTTCTTCTATGAAAACAAATGCATACATTTTCTGATCTGTTGCTGTTTTATTTTATTTTTTTTTATTGTAGCAATAATCTATGCAGGTCTTTACTATTTAGGATTACTTTTGTTAACAAGTATCTAACTGAATCACTTTCCATTAAAATCAGCACAATCAGGGAGGCTATTTATGAAACATTAGCCTTTCACCGCCATTTCTTCAGTATTATAGTTAAGTCATTATGAAACTCTAATAACAAAACATGCTAACCCAGTCATTTTACTTTTATTCTTTGGTTTTTGTTTTTCTTTTCTCTTCCAGATTCTCTTCCCCTCCCTCAATAAAACTTTATTTACTGGACATTGCTTGCCAATACTTTGTCTATTACATTTCCACCTACGACAATTAATTATTATTAGATCTGTATTTCTTGACAGCATTTTTCCTCTGTCCTTTCAGCTTCAAGAAACAAAACTGTGAGATAGAACACATAGGAGAGAAGAAAAACTGTATCACAAGTCAAAATAATTAAGCTACGTAAATAGACATCCAAAGACACTGCTAAGAAAAAAAAACCACCCAACCTAAACTAAGGGATTTTTGTTTATGTTCCATTTGCCGTTTGTTATTATTAAAATCACTTGATCTTTGGTGAAATTTAAATCCCACAGTTCTGTATTTTAGGAAATTAATCTGAAAGTATATTCTTATGACATACAAAGTTACAGAATTATCATGGTGATATTAAACAAAAATTTTACTGACTAGACCTTCTATTCCTCAATCTAAAGCATTCTTCACAGAGTACACAGGAACACAAAAAGATATAAGTAACACAGGCAAAAAAGCAAAGAACTGAATATGGAAAAAATGTAAAATGTATGGGACTAACCTTTGAATTTTCTAGTTTCTGGAATAGAAAAGTTTCTCCATAAGGAAAAATGGAAGATGAATTCTCCTCATTTGAATCTTTTCAGGGAATTATAGGATGGAGAACGAAAAGATGTGAATAATATGACATAATTGTTTATTAAAAAAAAATGCATGTGTTTTATACCAATACCAGACTGCTTCTTAAGTTCTATTCTTTGACAATGTAAAAGTGAGCTTTTTGATTCCCATCCCACCCAAATCAACTGTCATCATCTTTTTAATGTATTACTCATGTACACTAGTCAACTGGTAGCCATTGCACACTGTATGACTCACTTTTTCTTAAAATTACATGTGCCATATATGACTTTCTTGACCTTTATGATCTTACGTTAATATTACCAAGCACATTTTCCACATACACTGGTGATGCCATTTTAATGTTCATTTCTAAATAAAGGAGCAATATAAAAGTAGAAGATCTTACGCCTATTACAATCAATAATCAATATGCAAAAATCAATATGACAAAAAATCATAAGAGCTAGATGTTATAGTGTTCAAAATTCTAGAATGTGCTTATTATAATTCTAACATCACATCTATTATGATAGCTATTCTAACATCATAGCTACTAGAGTATGTCTAACACCATAGCAACCAGAAAATAGCATGCCTAAATCAACCGGTTCAAGAGAATTTCTACCATTCTTAAACTGCACTGGCTCATAAGAAAAAAATTAATTCTCCGTATTTGTATTTTCTGCTACTATAACAAAGGTGTTAAAGGTTCAGCCGCCACATGTTTGCCATCTTATTACGGAGAAGAATGTTTCTGAAAGTCTATCAGTATAATTTTCAAAAGGAAAGAAAGCCTTTCTGTCAATGCTCAATTTCCCCAAGTAATAATACTAGGTTCCCGTTGCCATGGCAAAACTACCTGCTATAACTCTTTGTCCTGTAGCTCGGACTTCCAGAACCAATTTTAATTTAGTTAAATATCTTTGATTGTAGCTAACAATGAACAAAGCTTGTACAAAAAATCTTTGAATATAAGCTTGTTCAGATTTCCAAGGAGGCTAAAGGGTGTATCACTATCTTTCATTCACTCACCTTTAAAAGTATCTGAAGTGACATGAATCCAGGCATGCAGTTATTCTTATAATTCCCTATTCCTCAGGCAGTCTGTCTTCACAATCACAATTTTAACAAATGTCCCCTCTATCAAATATGAACTGATAAATTTACAGACACTTAAAATGTATAGACTCACTTTGCTGGGCCACACCTTCTCCAGCTGAGGTAGTTACGTTTCTTTTCTCACGGTAGTAGCTTAAAACAAAAGAGGAAAATGGTTATAAGTTACTATCTTGAGGAAAGGATCAATGACTAGAGAAATACATTTGCAGGGGTAGGAAAATCTAATTTTTTAAAAAATATGATTTGAAATGAACAAAGTGCTCAGATTCCATAGGCATATTTTTCTACAAAACCATTAAGGTATTTCACTGAATTTTACAAGCATTTGCTTTTTGGCTCTATAATCCACAAAACTTAATAATTGTATACGGTCATTATGTACCCTAATAGGTGAAAAGAAAGATGTTAAAACTTGCAACTAATTAAGTATAACCTGTTTAAAATATTGGTATATATACATATATGGGGGGGGCGGGGAAAGGAGGGCACATGCATGTGTGCACATGAACAGATGTTATAAATGAGCACAATATATGATGTATTGTTGTTTTTGTTAAGTGCTAGTCAACTATGAATCACAGAGGCTCTGTGAACAGCACATCTGAGCTCTACGCAATCTCACACCATCTTCATGATCTCTTACTCTGCTCAAGCCCACTGTAGTGATCACTGTGTCAATCAATCTCTATATATTGGGGGTCTATATATAGGGTACTGCTGTTGTTATTGATAGCCATTAAATGAAGTATGACTCATAGCGACCCTATGAACAAAAGACCTGAAGCCTTTCCATAATTATCATTGAGATATATCTATATCTATCTATATCTATATCTATCTATCATCTATCTCTATCTCTATCATCCCTAACTCTATATCTTTATCTCTATCTCTATCTCTATCTAATCTATATATATCTATATGTATATCTATATCTATAGATACCTATAGATATATATGATTTAGATAGCCATAACTGTTGTTGTTCCATGATACCACTTTGTTAGTTCCAACTTACTATTCTTAGTATAAGAGAACAAAAGAAGCTTCATCCTGCACTGTTTTCACAATTGTTACTATGATTGAGCCCACTGTTGTAACCACTGTGTCAACCCATCTCATCGAAGGTCTTCTTTTTCTCTGATCCTCTATTTAACGAACCCGGATGCATTTCTCCAGAAAGTTGCCCCTTCGAGTAACACTGGATAGCATTAGGAAAATCCACCACCAATTATCTCTTAAAGTGGTAAAGAGCAAGTGTGTCTAGTCCAGCCAAGGTATACTCAGTTACTTCATATGCCTGTGGGGTGGACAATCTATAAGGAAAACTGAAAGAGCATTCATGCCTTTTATTTGTGACATTACTGAAGAACATTCGAGATATCATGGACTGCCAAAACAATAATTCTGTCTTACAAGGAGTAGAGGCAAAGTGTCCCTTAGAAGCAAGGATGATGAGACTTCCTCCCACATATTTTAGGTGGGTTATCAAGGTGATCTAGTCCCTAAAAGAAGTGACTATGCTTGAAAAGTGGAGAATTCTGAAAGAAAAAGAAAGAAAAAAAAGTCCCTCAATGGCATGGGATCACACAGTGACTGACAACACTGGTTTTAAGCACAGGTGAGATTGTGAAGGGCGAGCTGAGTTAGGCAGGCTTTCACTGTGTTGTACAGAGGGCTGTGATGAATGAGTTGGAACCAAGTCAATGTCACGTAACAACAAGTCCTCATTTACTGATATGTTTAGGTTACAAAGACTAGTTCATTTTGCAAACATCAGACTTAAGTTGAGGTTGCTCACCACCTATCAGAAGTCCTGATTTGTTTCAAGGTGGATGTGACTCAGGGAAATCTCCTCTTCCTACCTAGAATTGCTCCACCACTATGGAACCCACAGGGTTGAGACTGGAGGCAGTCAGGGGTTGTCCACCACCTGCAGAATAGTGGCAGAAACCTACCATCAACCTCATCACACTCCAGGCTTGCATGTGGATTCCCATCTCATCACTTCACTAACCTTGCCCTTCTCCATTCTCTATTCTTCTCCCATCTAAGCTCTTTGTTAACACACAAAATGGTCAGATCATAAAAGTGGTGGTGGTGGTGGTGGTGGTTGTTGTTGTTATGTGCCGTCGAGTCGTTTTCAACTCACAGCCACCCTATGTACAAGAGCCCTAAACGCTGCTCTGTCCTGTGCCAACCTCGCCATCTCAAACACACTCATTCCCACCACCCCAATCACAGAATCAATCGATCTCATCGAGGGTCTTCCTCTCCTGCGCCGCCCCTCTACTCTGCCAAACATGATGCTCCTCTCCAAGGACCAGTCCCTCCTTGCAACATGCCCAAAGTATGTCAGACGACAAAATGGCTTTCCTGGCCATTACTTAACTTTGCCATATGAAAGGATGAGAATATGCCAATAGCACATGTTAGCCTACCTACAAGGGGAGTGGCTAGTCTTGCCACTAAATCGAGGGAATCCAGAAGCAAAAGGAAGATCTCCCACCAGCAGAGAGCCAGAGACTGTAACGTGTCCTTCAGGACACCAGACAAACTAGGAGGGCCTATGAGAACAGTAGCCATAGCAGCCACGGTAGAGAACCAGAGACCGTGAGATAGGATCGTGGGACTGCTACACCACTGGTAAGAGCAAAAGCCTTTTGTCCAAGTTTGTTGGAGGACTAGGGAGGGAAGAGCCAATATTGGCAGGAGTTGTGAGGTTCAAGAATGAGAGGCCTGTGAGCACATTTCAGAAGCTATCCTAACTATATTCTGCCACTAACCTGGATTGTTGCCTTCTGACTTCTCCAATACGGCCAGGAGTAGTCCATTAGCTAGTGCATCAGATTTTTTTAATTCAAGTAAGAATGGTGTTGAGATGAGTAGAAAGAGGTACAAGAGCATGAGGGGCATGTCTGATTGCACGGGAATTGTTTTTCTGTTGTTCATGCTATTAATAGGGAGAGTTCCCCTTTGTGAAGGTGATACGGTCAGATATGGCCCTCTACAAGTGGACCTTGCTCTTTTTTACAGTAGGGGTTTTATTATTATTATTATTATTATTATTATTATTATTATTATTATCATCATCATCATCATCATCATCATCATCATGAAATATCAGATAAGGAGATAGTTGTTAAGTAAGGATATATGTATGCCTATGTATTTCAGAAAATCAAGTCATATTCCTACAAGAAATAATTTTATTAACTAGATATCACAATTAGAATATCTTTTGTCATTAGCTTTATACTATAAAGTAAAAAAAAAAAACAAACCACCAAAAATCAAAACTGGTCAGGACCTACGAACATAATAGAAAAAGGCCTAAAACATCCTACAATATAGAGGAGAAATACTGCAAAGTTAGAACAGAAACCTAATATAATAATAGCTGTGACAAAAGCAAATCTTATGGAGCCAGAGGTCAAGGAATACCTTCTTTGATATAAAATAATTCTATTTTTTTTTGTTTCATTCTCTATTTCATTTTTAAATGTTATTATTATTGTTTCATCTAAATGCAAGGGTCAGGATTCTGTTTTTAACTTCTCCTAAGCAATTCTCTGGTCAACAGAGCTAGTCCACAAATGCTACGTATTAAAGAGTAACTGAAGCCCTGTTTCAGCCCATGAAGCAGTAACTGCCATAGGACTAATTACTCCACTGAAACAAACAGTAATTTTTCAAATACATGCAACAATGTGTATTGATGAACAAGTGAAAAGTCAACCTTCCTGTAAACTTTCACTAAAAAAAAAAAAGAAAAGAAACAACTGTTCTCCACACTGCACAACAGTGAGTGCTGGATAGTAACATGATTGAAATAAAGCAAACCAGAAGACCTCTACAAATTCCCAGGAATCTTCATGGAACAATTTTCAAGAGAGCAATATGGAGAGGAAAAACTTAACCACACTGAATCAACATTCCAGGGATGAAGACCAAGGTCAAAGAGTGGAGGGCGGCTAGAATTTGGAATGTAAAGTAGGAGACAGGGCAGTTGCCATAATGATGAAGACAGTGATCCCAGAGTTTTGGGCTCAGTAATAATGCATGAAGGCAGAGGATTTACACTCCACAACGTGAAACAAAGAACAATAGCCAGGGAAGAAGAACGACCGATTACGGAAGCACTTGAAGCCAAACATTTCCCTAGAGCACACAAAAGTCTGGGAAACAATAAAATTCCCAGGAGACAAAGTGAACACATCTCATTAAATACACTGGAACATTTATTTAATAATAATGACCCTAAAAAGCCCTTATCTATTGATCATGATACTCAAATAGCATTAAAGTACAGACCACTGTAGGCTCATTATGGCGGGGAAAAAAAATAACTTAAATCAAGTTTTGAAACAATCAATCTGATTCATAAATAACTTTACTACCTGCCATAATAAGTTGGCACTACTAACACACACACACACACACACACACACACACACAATCTAGCATTCAGAAATATAACTCATAACTTCAATACCAGATATGCAAATAAGACGCATGTGAATTGTGAGCAGGTATAGAAAAAAGAAAATCCTGTTATTAGAAAGATACACAGAAATTATCCACCCACTGCCATCAAGTTGATTCCAACTCACAGTAGCTTTAGAAGACAGAAAAGAACTGTGATGGTTTCCAAGGTAATAAATCTTGGAAAGGAAAGCTGGCTGCTATCTTTCTCCTGCAGAGAGGGCCTGGTAGATTCAAACCATAAACCTTTTGTTTAGTGGCCAAATGCCTTAACTACAGAGCCATTAGACTTGTCTCCAGAATTTTAAAAAATATCAAAGGATTTAAAACAAAAATCCTGATTTAAATAAAAGTATGAAAAATGTTAAAAAGATGTCAATTGAAACTAAGACATTAAAAGACAAAATACAGAAAATTAAAATTTCTGCAAAGAAGAAAATACTAGAAATGGCAGAATCAATGTATCTCAAAAGAAAACATAGTATTACAATCCAAATTATGTACATGAAAAAGATACAGTACCTATCTATCCATGTGCAAATGTCCTTGTTTGGAAGTAAAAATTTTCTGCCGTTACCTCAATAATCATACCAAAGTAGTGTACGGGTCCTATAATTTAATCTGAATGCTGTCTTATAAAAAGGGAA